TTAGTTTTCTCTCCTCCTCCGTCTGAGTCCTTTCTATATTTCTGTCCTCTAAATTGCTACTTCTGTCCTCCATAATATCAGCTCTGTCATTCAAGTACTCCAGATTTTTCTTTATCTCATTCATTGTGTTTTTAATCTCCAACATTTCTGATTGGTTTTTCTTTATAGTTTCAATATCTTTTGTGAAGAATTCCCTCTGTTCATTAATTTTATTCCTGATTTCATTGAACTGTCGTTCTGAATGCTGACTGAGTCCATCTCCGTTTGCCCACTCACTGCCACTGCTTTACACACTGTGTGTCCTGGTGCTTTGGCAGGTGTGCTTTGCTCTGCCCGACTGGTGGAGCCAGTGAGCCAAGCAAGGGAGGGGTGCTTTCTTTTGCATGTGATCCCAGGGTCGCTGCCATTTTGCCCTTGCTATCTGCCTTCTTGGGCTGCTTGGTTTCATGAATACACCCCGTGAATACACCTCCTTGGTGTGGAGCTTTCCCCTGGGTTGTGATGGAACTCAGAGAGAAGGCATTCCCACAGAGGACTTCTCCGTCCCCCCTCTCCTCTCAGGACCGTGCTCCGTCCTAGGAGCACCCTAGGTCACTGCAGTGGGGGAGGGAGAGGATATCCCCTTACCTCCTTCCACTGCATCCTGGAGGGTACAGCACCTCCACCTTCAGACGTATGGCTGCGTGGGTCTCCCAGATGTCTATTGTGTTGTGTGAATGTTCTCTGTTGGTTTATGAATGTCCATTTTGTCATATCTTACGGGGAAGAGTCTAAGGGAAGAGCTCACTCTGCTGTGATTCTGAATCACTCGACCGATATTGAAATTTTCAAATCGTTTAAGCCAGCTGTGTTATAGAATGTCTCACATGCTTGAGACATTTTTTTGTCATTGAGGAACCCAAACCAATTTTCTTATACATTCTAGATTTGTCTGATTCCTCATGATGTCATTTAATTTATTCCTCTATCCTCTTTATTTCTGGTAAACTGGGAGTTAGGTTGAAAGACTTGGGTAAATTCAGATAAAATTTTTTTCTAGAATATTTCATAGGCAATTCATCACATCAGAAGCCTCATATGATGAGATTGTCACACTATTAATGTTGCTAAGTTTAGTCACTAGTTAGGGTGGTGACCACCATATCTCTCCACTGGAATCAGTAGGTAATCTGTGAGATGATATTTTGACACTATATAGTACCCTTTTCCCCAACAACCTTTTACTGATTGACTTTAACGTTCATTGATGACCCTTTCTTGAATCCATTATTATACTGGAGGTGGCAACGTGGTGATTTTCTAATTCTGTCATTCCTTCTACATTTATTATCTGGCATTTTTGTAAAGAACAAAATTTCTTCCCTCTGTTTTTAAAAAATTTCAGTACTTTATATTTATTTACAGTGATGATTCTTTTAGATGCACAAATTATCCTACATTTGGCTAGTAGGGGCTCTTTCAGGTTGTCTTTCACGTCCTTTTGATGATCCCATTAATCTTTGAACATTTCTCCACTTTCTGGCACAAGATCTCTTCAGCTCACCTTGTACTTTCCCTGTCTGAGCCCTGGAATCAGACATTTCTCTAAGGAGCCCTGATTCCTTTTAGTTGGAAATGGTAGTGAGAATCCCAGATCTGTGTTCTGGGTGTGCTGACTGCTCCTGAGGTGCTATTGCTTCCAGGATCTTTCATGGTTAGAGCTAACAAAACCATGAGTTCATATTGATGTTTTCAATGAAAATTTAATATTGTAGATTTTTTCTTAATTTCTTATATTTTATATTTATGTCTCTTTTCCTGTACAATGGAAATTTGGGTTCCTATTAATATTACATATTTACTTATTTATTTTATCCTACAGTGTATGTAAAATTATTTCAAAATTTTGGTACCAAAATTATTATTATCAATATTAAAATAGTTTTGCTAACTTTATTTTGGTTATTGTTAGCATACTATATCTTTTTCTACCCTTTTTCTTTTAACCTCCCTATAGCTGTATATTTAAGATTTCTCTTGGTAGCGGCATATACTTGAGTTTTCTCTTCATCCCATCTGAAAATCTTTATCTTTTAATCAGAGTACTTAGTCTTTTTAATGTATTTACTGTAGTTACCATATGTTTGGGTTTAAATATAGCATATTAAGCTTTGTTTTCTATTTATCATATCTATTCTTTGTTCCTTTGTTTCTCTTTTCCTACCTTCTTTTGGATTAAGTATTTTTATTATTCCATTTTCATCTCCTAGTAGATTGTTGATGATACATTCTATTACATTTTTTTCCTTGGTTACCTGGAGATTACAGCGTGCACCCTTGACTTATTAAACTCTAATGCAAATTAGTATATTTATCACTTCCCAGACAATACAATGAACTTTGGGCACTTCAACCCCATTTATCTTGCTCAGGCCTTTTGTACTACAGTTTTCTTTGTGAGGAAGATCAGCCCTGAGCTAACATCCGTCTTTTGCTGAGGAAGATTGGCCCTCGGCTAACATCTGTGCCCATCTTCCTCTACTTTATATGGGATGCCGTCACAGTATGGCTTGACAAGCAGTGGGTTGGTGTGCACCTGGGATCAGAACCTGTGAACCCTGGGCCACCAAAGTGGAGCACGCACACTTAACTGCTACGCCACCGGGTCCACCCCTTTTTGTACTACTTTTAACATGTATTTTAATTCTATGTATATTATAAACCCTATAAAACATTTTCATTTTTTATACACTCAGTATTTATTTATATTTACCCTTCTGTTCCACTGCTCTTCAATCCTTCTTGTATTTGCATGCCTCCATCTGGAATCATTATTTCTTCTAGTTAGATCTGGTAGTGATGAATTCTCTCAGTTTTTGTTTGTCTGAAAAATGTCGTTTTTCACCTTCATTCTTTGAGGGATATTTTTTCTGGTTATAGAATTCTGGATTGGCAGTTATTTTCTTTAATCACTTTGAAGAAGTTATTGTACTGTCTCTGACTTTGCTTCTTTTTGTACATCCCTTCTCTCTGGGAACTTGGCCCATCAAACCCTTGTTGCCTTCAAATAGACTTCCACCCTCACCCCAGCTCTTCTAGTAGTTGCTGGCAAGATGATTGGTCCGATACAAGTAGTCTACCATAGCCAGAAATCTGCTGCGAAAAGAAACCTACTAAGTAAAGTTTAAGAGTTATTTGCAGTGGGTTTTTTAACCTTAGAATTTATCCCAGTAGGAATATAGAATCAGACTAGTGTTCAAAATTAATTGAAATGATTCTTTGTGTAGTTATTAAATTTTTTTTGTGTGTGTGTGTGAGAAGATCAGCCCTGAGCTAACATCCATGCCAATCCTCCTCTTTTTGCTGAGGAAGACTGGCCCTGGGCTAACATCTGTGCCTATCTTCCGCCGCTTTATATGGGATGCCATCACAGCATGGCCTGACAAGCGGTGCATCAGTGCACGCCCAGGATCTGAAGCAGGGCCACCAGCAGCAGAGCGTGTGCACTTAACCACCACGCCATGGGGCCAGCCCCTAGTGATTAAATTTTAAAAGGGTGAGAGCTGGCTTCCACAGCACATACAGGCATACCTCGGAGACGTGGCAGGTTTGGTTCCAGACCACTGCAATGAAGCAAATATCACAATAAAGCAATTCACATGAATTTTTTTGTTTCCTAGTGCATATAAAAATTATGTTTACACTATTCTGTAGTCTGTTAGGTGTGCAACAGTACTGTGTCTTTAAAAATAATTTACATACTTTAATTTAAAAATAATTTATTGCTAAATAGTGCTAACCATCGTCTGAGCTTTTAGCAAGTTGTAATCTTTTTGCTGGTGGAGGGTTCTGTGAAAAATGCCATATCTATGAAAAGCAATAAAGTGAAGTGAAATATAACATGGTATGCTTGTATACTAAAAAAGGAGGAGAAACAAGAATGAAAAGGCTAAGAAATTAAGAATGGTTTCAAAACTCTGTAAGTTGAAATTGTTAAGGCTTTTAAAAAATGAGTAAAATAAATAAAATTTAAGGTAAATAGAAACAAAATGGAAGTAGGCAGTTTGAAGATTAGGAACTTACTGGAAGGGAAGAGGAAAAATAGGTTTTAAAATCATAAATCAGATCAACAAATCACATGATAATGCTGAGACTTTGAACTAGAGAGCAAATTGTATCTTACCTAAAAATAGGAAACCAAAAAGGGCAAAAAATGATCCAGGTGAAGGCAGGTAATAGTGTTCGACCCGAGAGTTCTCTAGAATGGAAGAACATTCTGACAACACATGGAATCTTCACTTCGTGCCTTTCCATGAGGGGCCTAGCCCCCCTCACCCACCCCTCACTTTTTCCCAGGACAACCTTATGAAACTGCCACTACCTGGTGATTAGGGGAGTTTAGAAGCTGATCTGCAATCCAGGACCCAAGGAGTGTCCACCACAGCCCTGGAGGCCACTGTCCAAAGAGTATGGTCAAAACATGGCCGCTTTGGTCTGCAACCACATCCTGTCCCCCCAGGATTCATGCTCCATTCTTCCAACTGGATTAGAGGTTAATTTTCATTAATTAATTTCCTTCCTGACTAGACACTCCAGTGCTTCTCCCACTGTTAGAACATGGCTAAGTAAACCAGTGTCCCAGAAGGACTGAGGTGGAGAGAGACAAAGAGACAAAGTGAGGTAGACAGCAACAGGAGCAGTTACTAGAGTGAAGGTAACGAGCGGGAGTTGGAGAGGTTGGTCGGCCAAGTTCATGTAACAAGGACTTCAGATCCTGAACATTGTTGGCTGTCGTGTGGTGCATAACAGATGTTAAAAATTAAATTAACATTCTTCTCAAGGCTTATTTTTGTGAACCACTAGATCTAAAAAGATTCCTCAATGCAGAAAGCTGCCATCTGGCATTGAATTTTCTCTTTATTATAATTTTTACCTATAAAAAACAGTGGTCATGTTGGATTTGCCGTGTCTTGCCAAGGGCTCTTGGCACTGACAGAATATTTTTCCTGATGGATTTGCAGATTCAGAGGATCGAGAATCCAGATCTCTGGAATAGCTACCAGGCAAAGAAAAAACCCATGGACGCCAAGAATGGCCATGTCACAAATGAGAAGCAGCTCTTCCATGGGACGGATGCTGACTCGGTGCCACATATTAACCAAAATGGCTTTAACCGCAATTATTCTGGAAAGAATGGTAAGGAAGCAAGTAATCTGGCTGCTCCAAACGAGGTGTCAGCCATGAGAACCCAAACTGGCTGGGGACAGTGTGGCTTGCATTTTGTTCCCTCATGATTGGTGGCCATGTTGCAGCCAGAGGTTCAGGTTGTCCTCAGTATGTTTCTTCCCAAAGGGACTGACGGGCCCTCTGGGGCGGAGGAATGACTTTTTTGATGGAAAACACAAAGAAAATTTTCATAGAGGCTTTAGAGAGAAGAACTGAACGTTATTTTAACACTATTTGGCATATTGTGTCAACACATCAAATTACAGACTAAAGTGAAATTGTTAAAAATGTTTTGTTTTTCTCCTCACAGCTGCAGCATTTGGAAAGGGAACCTATTTTGCTGTCAATGCCAGTTATTCAGCCGATGATACATACTCCAGACCAGACACAAATGGGAAAAAGCATATGTATTACGCACGAGTACTTACTGGAGTCTACACATACGGACATCATGGATTACTTGTGCCTCCTCCAAAGAACCCTCAAAATCCTACTGACCTGTATGACACTGTCACAGATCATGTGCAAAATCCAAGTCTATTTGTGGTATTTAATGACTATCAGGCTTACCCAGAGTACCTCATTACTTTTAGAAAATAACATTTTGGTATCCTTCATAGAAGACATATTCATCTCTACATACCTGGTTGTAAAACAAGTGTTAGATTTTTTTTTCTAACAGCTTTTTCTAAGATCAAAGGATCCTTGGCACTGAAATCAAACTTTCTTCAGCTTCTATTTCATAACTGGAAAGGACCTATCTTGAGAGCAATAAATTTGAGAATTTAAATCAGATAACTTAGTTACAACTGTGTGTTCACAACTGTAGACGTCACATTGTTGAAAAACAGGCTTGTATTTGCAGGAAGGAGAGAATAACATTCATCTTAAAAGCAGAGAGCACAGCCATGCAATTTCAGCTGCTGCTGAAGGAGACAGCTGGCATCACACCAGGACACCATATTGCTGTGGGGAGCACAGTATGACTAAGAGGGCGGAACTACTATCTTCCTGGGGGCAGGGATGGTGTCTTACTCATTTTTTTTATCCCTGGGCTCAGGTCTGTGCCTGATGTACAAAGGATGCTCCATAAATGTTTCATAAACCAGTTAAGAAGGAAAAGGCTAGTCAGACTGCTACCCAAAGTAGGAACCATCTCTTCAACACCCTTGACTTATTGTCACTAGGCCTCAAATTGGACAGATTCCATGACAGGGAACTTCGATTTCACAAACCAGCCCATGACACGTGGGACAGCTGCAGTCCGGGCTCTGGGATTGCAGTGCAGCTGCACCGGCCCAGTCCCGCGGCTGTGGTCTAGCTCGTGGTCCAGGTGAACTGTGCCCCATGGAGTGGTGCAGTGCAGCATCCTGGCTCCACTGGTCCTTTTTATGTTGAACCCAAACCTGCCTTCTTATAACCTCTACTCATTGGTCTTCCTTTTGTCCAGTGAAAACAGTGGGATAATGCCTGCTGCATCCTCAGTGTGAAACCCTTCTACTGTGTTGAGATTAAATGAAATCTAAGGTTTTTAAATAGCATATTTTCCCTGACAGCCTAGCTTTTAATGATTTTAAAGCCTTGTGCATAAATAAACCAAAGGAATTAAGCATATTGCTAATTTGCTGACTCAGTATCTATTGGATGGTAAAGAAAAGCTTTTTTTAACTTCTCCAGGTGAATTTCAGGTTCCAACACTGATTACTGAGCATCTAGATTGCACCAGGTAGTATAATAGATGCTTTCACACACACTATTTATTTTATTCCCCCAACAATCTTGTGAGGTAAGAGTTATATCCCCACTTTAAAGCTGAGGACACTGGTGCTCAGAGTGCAAGAAGCTTCCTTGCCTGAGGTCACCTAGGTAACAGCCGCAGAACCAGGAACTGAATCTTGGTCTCTGTGTCATCAAGCCCTTTGCTCTTCCCACTACAGAAAAATGGCCTCTAGATTAATGTTACTGATTCAGGAACTTCTCAGACAAGCTGTGAATTACCCTCATATTCCCTTAGCTTTTTCCTTCTGGCTTTGGTTTCTATTGTAGAGTCTCTTCATTGGAAGCCCTTTAGGCCAAGGGTCATGAGCTGATGCCCATGCAAAGCCAGTGCAGACGGTGCTCTTGGATGCTAGGAGTTGCTAGGAGGGTAAAGGCGCTCCCCTGGCTGCCCGAACACCTGCTCTTCACGTAGAGGAGGCTGAAAGGGCCACAGTTGCTGCTTCATTAACACAGATTTCTTGAAATTTTTCTTGTTGGTGCTGTTTGCTTTTTAAAGGGATTGACAAGGACTCCTTATCACTCGTGAGTGCCTTCCCAGCCACTGCCATCTCAACTCAGGCTTGACAATGAATGTAAGAAGTAAAGAGAGACTGCTCTCTAATTTGCTCTTTTTCTCCTGTGGTTTGGTGAACTCAGGGCAAAGCTGAATATCAAGGTGTATTGCAGCAAAGTTGAATGATCCAGTCAGTAAATGTAACAGTTTTCCTCAATCTAAAGGAATATGTCATTTACTCCTCTTTGAATAAAATACTTTGGAAAATGGTATTTGGTGGTAAACATCTTTATCCTTAAGGGCCAATACAGGAGAGCCTGATGATAAACACAGGCCGCTGCTGACAGAGGACCACACTAGATATGACAGCAGCAAGCTATCCTCTGAGTCTCAGTAATATTCGGCTGAACGTTACAGAAAGGGCACGGTACGGGTTTAGTTCGGTAAATCTGAAGGGCAGATTGACCCCAACAAGTAGCCCCTGCTAAAACAAGCCCACTTGGAGCCTGTGATAGGTCCTGATGGTCTCCTCTAGGGCAGGAGATTCTAAATCATTTTTGGTGTTTGAATCACCTGAGGTGTTTGCTGAGCCTGCAAGTTCTGGCCCATCCCAAAGGAGTCAGCTTCTCTTGCTTGAGTGGTGCCTAGAAATCTGCATTTTCAGAAGCACCTCAAAGGATTCTGACATCCCTGATACCCAGAGCCGCTTAGGACTTTCATGGACCCAAGGCTGTTTTGGCTTGGTGGGCCACTTAGTCCATAAAAAGTATTAAAAACTATACTTTGCCACTGCATTGATATAAACATAAATGTAATCAAGGCTGAATTATATTCCTTTGTTTCTTTTAAAAGAAACTATTTTTGTGGGCCTCTAAAAGCTCATGGGCTCTAGCCACTGTGCCTACTGTGCCTACTGGATAGCTCGGCCCTGCTGATACCTGGATACTGTGCCTTTAGGTGTAACGCTGAGCCTGTATCCTTTAATCCCTTTGGCCTCTGGAGAGTCAATGTATTTATTTACTAATTGATTTCACTCACTCAGGCATGCTCATCTGAGAAATGCTGGATGAAATGGGACCCAGCTCTCTTTGACGCTGACAGCCTCCCGCTTTCTCTATCTTTTCTCACCCTCACACTCCCCCATCGAAGTTAGCCAGGATCTCTTTACACCTGGAAATCCCTTCATACCAATGTCTTAACTCTCTTCCCCGGTCTCTGCATGTCAAAGACCATTACCTGTAACTGAGTTAAATGCCTTGTTTGAGAACAGCTTTCAAAGTTTTCTGACCCCAGCCTACACTAAGAAAAACAAAGTGAATAAAGCCTGTTAAAAAAATAAATTTTATATCAGGCCCAGTATACACACAGATAGAACTGAGAAGTTTTATGAAATATATTGACCCTGAAAAAATACTTTTCCTGGAAAGTTTCACAAAATAATACTTACATTTACTGTTGAATTTACTGAAATTACCTATTCTGTTCCATTTTTAAAAAAATGCTGGTCTCACCTGCTGAATTGATTACATGACTCACTAATGGGTCACAACCTGCAACCTGAAACAGTGGTCAAAGGAGTAGCAAACATAAAAGAGAAAACATCTGAAGACAGAGACCCGTCTATTCCTGCAATATCGGGATGTTCCCACTCTGGGTTCCCACTCTGGGTCACCTTACTCTCGGCCACACCATCCTCTGCCCCAATGTATTGATGGAGTATCGCCAACAAGGCCTCCTTGTTATGATCTGTTCAGTCAAGCAGTTAACAAGCAGCTATCGTGCTGGGCACTGATCAAGGCTCTGCGAAAGCAGTAATAATCAAAACAAAGTCCAAACCCTCATGCGGTGATGTTCGGGTTTGGGAGATGGACAATTATCAAGTAAACAGGTAAATATATAGTGGACAGATGGTGGCACGGAAGGGTTTTCTTCAGACTCTTCTTTTCCTGGGCAGGTTCACATAACACCTCCTTCCCTCCCTCTCTCTCCTGGAAGGCAGATGCTGTCTTTGGATTTATTGATACTCAGTCTGAAGCCTGAGGAGGATGGGGCCAGTAGCCAATTCATCTTAAAAGGTGACTCTGTGTCTCTTTGCTGTTATGTATTTGTTTCATGAATGGTTACTCAGAGATCAATATGCTTTTCTAATTTCTAAATTCTTACTTACCCAGTAAAGGTAATAATTATCCCCAGATCTTGCGAATGAGAGTGGGATCAATTTCACTAAACCAAGCTTTTAGTCAGTTTCAGGAGTCAGCAGCATCCAGTCCTTCTTATTCTCAGGACTGGTGTTCCTAGATGCCCCAGTTCCTTCCATAAGGAGGCCTCATATTGGACCCCCACCTACTTCTCTCCTAGTTTGTGCCCTGCTCTGGAGGACACAGGCTAACCAGTGAGAATTCTGCACGTGGTAGAAGTGCCATCACTTCAGACCAAGGCTAGACTCCACCCAAAGGATGCAACAGGCCAGGGGCTGGCCTTTCTGTAAGGGGATAGATAGTGAATATTTTCAGCTTCACAGCCCATACAGCCTCTGTCACTACTCAATTCTTACACCATAACCCTAAATCCAACACAGACAGTATGTAGATGAATGGCGTGGCCGTGTTCCAATGAAACTTCATTTACAAAAACAAGCAGCAGGCTGACCCCTGCTTGAGGCTGATGGCGAGATCACTTCCTAGTGAGAACACTTGGAGCTTACGTTTGAGATAGGCTGAAGGGATGGGATGGGAGAGGAAAGGCAAAGACACTGAGGAAAGACGGCCTACAGATAACAAAGAGCCAGTGTGGCCAAAGAGCAATGTGCATGCAAGAAGGTGGCAGGAGACTGAAACTTAACTAGGTAAGAACAAGTACAGTTACAAGTATGTGCAAATTGACCTTTTCTGTTCCATCTTTTATTTAAAAATCATACTATTTAAGATATATTTAAAAATATTATTTAAAAAGTCATTTTCTATTAGAATCACAAATTTCTTCCTTGTATCAAAAGTTATGCCACTATCCGGTTACTTGTGGATTCACCAAGCAGTCCAGCAGGTCATCTGTAGAAATGAGTGTTTGAGAAGGGGCCACAGCACCATGTGAGGCAATTTGTGCCACAGCTGCATGCTCACTTCTACTCATCCTTCGTTGCCTCTGGGTACAATGCAATTTTCCAAAGTGTTCTCCGTCTTTGCCGACAAAGTCTTTACCATCACTTTCAAATATGCCTCCTCTTTCTGAGGGAGCTTCTTCGGGACTTGGTATTACAGGAACCAGATCAGGGCCAAAGGGACTTGCTGCCTCCTGTTTCACTGTTCCGCAGGTTAAATTCTGGCTACCTGTTTGTCACACCCCATGTGGTTGAGCTCTAACTCACCGCTGAAGAGAAGTGGCGATAGGAAGCATCCATTGTCTCATTTCTGATTTTGCAGGGAAACGTTCTAATGTTTTACCATGAAATATGAATCTTGCTCTGGGTTTTTTATAGATATCTTTTTATGAATTCTTTATCAAATGATTTTTCTCTAGCTATTGAAATGAGCATACCCTTTAATATATTTATATGGTGAGTTACATTAATAGAATTTCTAAAGTTAAATTATCCTTGCATTTCTGAGATAAACCCAACTTGACCATGATTTATCTATTTATACAGAGCTGAATTATATTTGTTAATATTTGGTTTAGGATTTGTGCATCTATTTACATAAATTAATCAGTCTGTATTTTTCCTATTATACTGTTGTCTATTTTTTGGTATCAATGTTAAACTAGCCCTGAAAAGTTTGTTGAAGAGTGTTCCCTCTATTTCTGTTCTCTGGAAAATTTTACATGAGGTTGGAATTATCTGTTCTTTGAAGATTTGATAGAACTCACTAGTAAAATCATCTTAGCCTGTTGTATTTACTTGTTTACTTGGCAGGTAAAATTTTAATTACTGATTAAACTTAGTAATAGCTATTAGAAAATTGAGGATTTCTAGTTTCAGTCAATTTTGGTAAGCTATATTTTTCTAAGAAAATCTATATTTTGTCTAAATTTTCAGTTAGCACAAACTTTTTTCTAGTATTGTGTTATTATCTTTAGATCTCTAATATATCATAGTTATATCCTCTTTTTATTCTCAAATTCATTTGTACCTTTTCTTGCTTTTTCTTCATCGGTCTTACCCAAAATTAGTCAATTTTTAAAATCTTTACAAAGAAACAGCTATTGACTTTATTCTCTCTGTTGTATGTTTTGTTTTTATTTCATTATTTTCTGTTTTTATTCTTTTTTCAAGGTTATTCTGATTTTCTTAAGTTGGATGCTTAGCTGATTAATTTCTGCCTTTTTCTTAATATAAGCTTTAAAGTTAGGATTTAAGCTTAAAAATTTAAGCACCATTTTAGCTTTATGTCACAAAGTGTATCAGTACTAGTTTCATTATCATTCAGTTCTAAATATTCTCTAATTTCTGTTAAGTTTTCATGACCCATGAGGTGTTATTTTGAGGTGTATATTTAATTTCCAAATATATTTATTTTTAAAGTATTGGGGTTTTTTGTTTTCTAAGTTAATTACGCGATGGATGATGGTCAGAGAACATGGTCCAATTGAGAATGTCTTCAAAATTCTTGAACTTAGAGTGTGGTCAATATAAATAACTATTCAGTGTACACTTCAGAAGATATGTATTCTCTAATGATTCAGTAGAGGTTTCTATATGTGAACGTTAGGTAAAAACTTTGCTGTTCAAATCTTCTATAGCCTTACTAATTTCTTTTTTTTTACTGTGTCATCTACTAGTTACTGAGAGAGAGCTGTGTTAAATCTCTGTGATAGTGGATTTGTCAGTTTTGCCTGTAATTCTGTCAGTTTTTGCTTTATATAGTTTGAGGATACGTTATTAAATCCATACAGGTTTATCATCCTATCTATTCCTGGTTAATTGAACATTTTGTTATTATCAAATAGTCTTCTTTATCCCTAATAACATTCTTTCACTT